AAAATAATTGGGGGGGGGGGGGGGGGGGATTGACCCACTTGGCACCATTTCCAACATAAACGACGACTAATAAGTAGAGAATGACGTACTTTTTACTTTCTACTCCTACTGTTAAATTTTGAATTTTCCTGTATCAGCTGCATCTTTCTAACGAATTGCCTTTTCCCTTTCTACCCTCGTTCAATATAGAACTCGCCCACAAGAAATGGAAAACTGAAGAATTAAGCAGATATTATTAGGCTGAAATGGTGAAAACATGGGAAATTTAAGATCTCATACATAGAAAATTGAATCCTTACAAATATTTGGGGCATAGCTCTTGTTCATTCTGCTCTATACAAGACAATGAACAAAATAATCTATTATAATCAAAGGACAACTTAACAAAATTCAAATACCAGAGAATTTCTTTGCACCAACAGATCGCAAGCTCCATAATATTTTGTTTCCTTGACTGGAGATTAGGCAAGCTTTGGTAATTATTAAGTAAAAAAGCAAAAATCTTTGAAGTTATGGAAAAACAGCAACATTGGTTGGAGAAAAACACCACGTCATAAGGATATTCAACTGAAAAATGATCGAATATGCTTAATAATTATATTCTTCTCCTTTGATGATTATGAATGATTCCAGTGCAAGTACAATCTATAAATCATCCAAGTCAAGTAACGAGAAGGGCAGCTGTAAATGTATTAACTTAACTGAAACCGATGATACAATTATTGTGGCTATGCAATTACAATTTTGAACGGATGAACTCGCCCCTCGAATCATATATATTATGCATTGAGTCATATTTTTACGAAAAATTGAGGTAAATTCCCCGAGTAACATCACCTTCACCTCTCGGGATATATAAATATCCAGCCGGTCTTGGGGCCAAAAGTCTAATCCAGTAAGGACATTGAACAGCTGAGATCAGAAAATCCAAGAATTTTATTTGTTTCACCTTCCTCGTGGATTTACCAGCTGAGAGAAAACAGCGCTGGTGGCAGCATCTTCAGCATCATCATCTGTGCCAGAATTAACCCCTTCAATCATACTCACACTGTTGTCAAATGGCTCAAGTGATGTCAACGGAATATCAGGGATATGGTTTGTACTGTTATCATCGGGCTCTGTGAGAGCAGATGAGGTTTCCTCTAGCTGAAGAGCGTATTCAAGGTTCCACAAAACATCACCCATGGAAGGCCTATCAACCCCATGCTCCGCCAGACACTTCTCTGCAGTGTCTCCGAATTTCTTCAGAGAAGCCGGATTCACCTTCCCTGTGAGATTTTTGTCCATAATTTGATCCAGCATGCCCTTCTTTTGCCATGTCATTGCCCATTCAGCAATATTAACTTGTTCCCGAGGAAGAACAGGGTTCAGAGCCGGTCTTGTGCAGAGAACCTCCAATAGAACGACACCAAATGAATAGACATCTGATTTCTCAGTAAGCTGCTGCCGCCTGAAGTATTCAGGATCGAGGTAACCAAAGCTACCTTTAACAGCAGTACTCACATGGGTTTGATCAAGAGCTGGTCCAGTTTTAGATAGACCAAAATCAGCTACTTTGGCAACAAAATTCTCATCCAAGAGTATGTTGGTTGTTTTCACGTCACGGTGAATAATACTTTGAGCAGCCCCGGTATGGAGATAGTGAAGTCCCTTAGCAGCACCTATACATATCTCAAGTCGCTGTTTCCAAGAGAGAGACGGGAGTTCAGTTCCATATAGGTGGCTTCTGAGAGGCCCATTCGCCATATATTCATAGACCAGAATCATTTCTGATCTTTCATCACAATAACCAATAAGAGACACTAGGTGACGGTGGCGAAGCTTAGACAACATTTCAATTTCTGTCCTGAATTCTGCGAGTCCCTGCTCGGATCTTGAATTCCCCCTTTTGACAGCAATTCTAGTCCCATCTTCCAAGGTTCCTTTGTACACCCTACCAAAACCACCAACACCAAGAAGTGAGCTTTCATCAAATTTATTCGTCGCATCCATTATTTCCTGAAAAGTGAAGAACCGGCCAAGATTGGAGGAAGCTAATGAAATGCAGCTAGCTGTACCACTCTTTTGAGAAAGAGTAGACATTTTAGTCATTGTCAAAGAGTTTCCATATAAAGGAAGAGGAAGCCATGTATTTCCTTGTGGGGTGGACCTTGACCTGCGGGCAGCCAAGCAGCAATAGCACAACCCAATAAAGGCCAATGCGGCCACTGCTCCACCCACAGAGCCAATTATGATTCCTATTTTATTCTTCTTTGGCGGAACTTCAAGGAGAGTTTCAACAGCCGAAAGTCCAACAAAGCTTCTAGCTTCATTGCTAATCTTCATGATTTCCAGGCCGTTCATGATAGCATTCAAGGAATTGGAACTTGTGTCCGGACCAACACTAACAGAAAGTGTGTCCGAACCAGCAGAATTGTTGGAGACAAAATCTTTGTAGACAGGGACGTCCAAGTTTCCAGCTAGATTTGATAGGTCCAGACCCCCAAACGCACTATCAGTATTTATATATAGATTGAACACCAGACTGTTCATAGATTTGCTCACAATATCGCAAAAGTGTACCCTAACAAAATACGTGAAATTTGGATCAACTGGCAAGACCCATGTGATGTTGAAATTTACGCTGACTACATTTGCATCTCCCATGGTTTCAGCAGTCGAGTAAACTGAATTTGGTGCTATTTCCGGGGAAACAGCAGGACCGTATTTTATGTTCAAAGGGTTAACTGAAACATTTGTTGCTGAGCTGTTGACATGAAGGTATTTAACATCATTCTCCCAAGTTCTTCCCAAAGTGTCGTTCTGAGCAGTGACCAAGGGACCACCCATATTTAAACGATAAACGGTTTCCAGAGCAAGTCCAGAAAGCCAGGTAAAAGGGCCAGGGGGAGATACAGCCACTGCCTGATCAGGGATCAAATTATCCGGGGCAGAAACAACTTCAATTGCATTAACAAATGCAATAGAGTTATTTGAAGGAATAAAATTAAGTACCAAGTTATCCAATGTGACATTGATTGCATACTCCTTAAACAGGTAAGTACCATTAAAAGTCTCAAAACTGAAGTTGTGCAAGAGCACAAAGTTCTCAGTAACAACTGTGATCGAGGCTGAGGTCAAATTGTGGCCGGGAACAGGATAAAAATAAAGGCGAATCCAATGCCGGCCTTCTGTCTCAATATCAAATTTGTAAGATGTCGTGCTCGTAAAAATTCGAGCAGACTGGTAGATTGGAGATGGGGGAGTGGAATTGGAGGTAGCAACAAAAGAATTTCCCTGACTTTTTAAAGAAACTGAAGATTGTAATGAATCGGGAACATAGGTCTGATCATTAAAGGTGACATTTTGTGAAGATCCACAGACCAGCAAGTAGTTATCAGCAGGAGTGTACGAGGAATAAGATCCTTGACTCAGAATACCTAGAGCCACACCTACCCATATCACTATATTCATAGTAGACAACGTTGCAAGCATCCCAAATCTAAATAACAGAAACGGACAATACCCTCCACTTCAAACTGGATAAAATTCCTTAGAAAAGCCAAGATTCTAAATTTCCAATTTCAAGAAAATCTCAACTTGATCCCAAATAAGCCCTCAAATGCTACACACAAATCCCAAAAATCACTACCTATTTATCCCAAGATCTATAGAAAACAATGCTTAAAAACAAATGGCCGATATAGTGAAAATGAAGTGCAACAGAAACAAACTTGGCATAAAAAATTGAAAAGATAATCTGAAAATTTGGAGGTTCTGTTGAATAAAAATGAAAAGATCGAAGCTTGTTCAAGAACCTTACCTCATTCACAGAGCTAAAGACTAGTAATTTGCCATGGAATGAAATGCAAGCATTTGCCACCAAGAAAACACAAACCCCCACCAATTTCAAGTAGTAGAGCTTTTTGCATTGCAAACTGCACCAGCTCTTTCCAGGCTGTCAATTAGGCTGTCGTCTTACACAGATAGCAAAGAGCAAAAGAAAATAAATAAAAACATAAAAAAAGTTTTGGACCCACAAAAAAAATGCAAAAACTCAAATCCCAAAACTGGAATATGCAACAGCTGTTTCCCAAGAGATAATATCTGTACCATTTTTAACACAGAAAAAATATTATAAAATAGTGGAATATTAGAGCCAAGTTCTGCTTGTATACTTTTTGTACTGTGGATTTTGTTTTGGATCTGTTAATTTATGATTATAATTAATTAATTATAAGTTGCTTTGCTGGGACCAAGAATCTCCGGAACCCACTTGGACGCGGCTTTGAGATATAGAGGGGCCAAAGATTATGGTGTTGGTTGACGGAGGAGAGACCGAGAATTCCGCAGGTCACCGTCACCTGTATTTTAACGACGTTATTTTAAGTGTTTAATTGGATGTTACTGTGACGTGCACCAGTCGTTTACTTAAATCGAAAAGGTGATCTGAATATTATACAGAATAGTTGGTTAAGTTTAAAGATAATTGAAGTTAATAATGAATATTGTCATTAACATTCTCCAATTTATCGTTGAATGACATTATTTTATCTGTCAAACACCCCGTAATAATTTGAAAAATACTATGGGAAGATTACCTATTCAAGAGAATAAGTTTAGTCTATTTCAAAAATAAGAAAACAAGTTTGAAATTTTCCAAATCAGATTTTTATTAAAAAATTTTAAATTTTTATTTATGAAATAATAAATTATGAAATTAATTTATTATTAAATATTTAATTATAATATAATATAATTAACTCATCCCACATTCATCACCCCTACCGTTCCGGCGACCGTTCTGATCACCGCCCTACTTCGGCGAACTTTCTGACTATCGTTCTGGCCACTACTCCGATTCCGATGACCGTTCCGGCGATCGTTTCGGCGACTGCTCTAATTCTGACAGTTGTTCCAACTCTAGCGAATATTCCGACGACAACTCCGCTATATTTTTTTGTACGGTTGACATTTTTTTTTTACGGTCACAACCCAAGTCACAAATCACAACCCATGTCACAAGTCACAGCTCAGGTCACAAGTCAAGAGTCACAGCCCAGGTCAAAGTCACAAATCAAGTCGCCGCCACCACCACCTTCACTACGCCGCCTAATCAACCATAGGCTAGCACCACTACCATTCAAAACCACAAAAATAAAATAAAATCGACGAGCATCGCTAAAGCTCCGACGAAGCAGATCGGAGGAAAAAACCAACCCAAAAGCCCAAAACCATAGCCGCTGCACCCCATCCCCACTCACCACCGCAGTCAACAGCACATCCAACACCACCAAAAAACTAGATCCAAAGATAATCAGTCACATCCACAACCAGCACCACCTTACCAGCACCGCTACGCTAGCACCATCGACAACTAAAAACAGTGCCACCATTTGCAAATGGTGCAACAACGCTTTCACCTACCACCAAAATGGTGCAACAACGCTTTCCCCAAAACTTTGACACCCGTTACTCCAAATTTCCCCTCATTTTCTACCACCAGCAACAACGCTTTCACCTACCACCATCGTCGCCCAAAAACTGGATCCAACCAACAATGAGGGCTTCGTTCAGAGCGCAGCGACGACAAACCATTGCAGCCCTAGATCGCCCAAAAATCAATGATGACTGCTACAACAACAATGATCGCTGCACTCTGAGGGTAGCGACGACTACATCATCGTTGCTGCAACGATAATGGAGGAAGAGAGAGAATAGAGAGAGAGAGAGAGAGAGAGAGAGAGAGAACGGAGAGATATTTCGGTGTGGAGAGGGCAGAGGTGGGTATATTAATTTAATTTCATTATATTATTAATAATATAAAATTATTATCTGATTTTTGTATAAACAAGTTTTAAATCTGATTTTTGAAATAGTAACTTAAAAAATATGGTTTTATGTAATTTCCACAAATACTATTTATATACCGAGATTGACAGATCCCCTCACAGGAGAGGGGGCCAACGACCAATAAATAAATTGTGAGCCCCCTCTCTTGTGAGATGGCCTGTACAAATAGTATGGTCATAATAATTTATGTATATCAATTTAATATTGTACTTTAGTCCTTTTTTGAGCCTCTACGTCATGAGATTAACGGGTGGAACACTATCATTATCGCCGAATTGACTGATTAACGAAAATAAAAATTCAAAGCCATTAACCGCTGGACTGCAGCGCATGGCCACGAACACAAACGTCCCCATCTGTTTCCTTTTTTTATTGGTATTTTTTGTTTTAGATTAAAACAAATTTGGTTTTATTATTTTTATTTTATAAAAGAGAAAATGGATATGAGTTGGCCGTTGCTGGCGAAAGACACCGCCATTCACGGCAACTCTGTGAATCCATTGACCACTCGACACCACCATTCACGTTCAATCAAAAAAAATATAAGTCTTGCTTATGCCTGTATATTCGAGCATATTAAAATCAAAAAGTTTCTTAAAAACTAGGAAGAATTGCAATTAAGGTATCACATCTTTCATTTAATAGTAGTCTTGACACAAAACATTTCGCTTGTGCCAACGTAGATACTTAGCCTTTAAAAATTCGCAGCTTAAAGTCCAAAATTACTGTTTTAGTTGTTTTACCTCAAAAATCGTCGGTTAATCCCATAAATTAAAAAATTAATATTTTTTTTCAAATAAGACGAAGACATTTTGGACATTATTTTTCCCACTAAATCAAAAACTAAAACAATAAAAAATAAAACCACAACCCCCACCTAGGCTTGGGCGCGATTTGATTTTGGGGAAAATTATTGAGAACCCTTCTTATCAAGATTACATTTCAAAAACAAGTGGTGAAAGATTAAATTTCAATAATCAGGTGGTAAATACTAATTTTTAAATTAATTAAATCAAATTAATTACACATACCCACTGTGGCAAGCCGAACACTTCTTTTACCCCTGATTCATTTGTGAACCCTCCCACACTCTCTTTTCCCCAAAATTAGATTGACACTCTCTTACCCAAAAATTAGATCGGCGGCTTCTTCCCCATCCACCCTCTAGATTCCGGCCACCTACCACTTCTTTCACCGAAGTTTCTCGAGACCAGTCACCTACTGCATCGGTGGCTACAGCATCTCGCAGCAGTTCGGCGATGACACTCTCTCTCTTCCCCAAAATCAGATCGACAGTTCAGTGTTGTGGGGAGTTCTTCAGCGAAGTTATGCGGTGGTGACGTGGTGGTGGTTATGGTGGATGGTCGTTTCCCTGATTCCATGATACACTTAAAATTGTAGTTGCCGTAATTTAGTAAGAAGAGGTGGTTGATAGTTCGCCATGTGCAGTGGTATGCCTGAATGTTGGTCAGCGTTTGTATAATTAAGTTATAAATCTAGTTTTATTTGTATAATGTTTTTGTAATTCTATATCAATCATTAGGAATATGTGCTGTAGTTTCTATTTATTATTAGTGTAGCTTTACTTTCTGATAATATTTCAAATATGGAATGCGTTGTCCTTTTCAACATTGATGAATATAATAGTAATTTTCATTTAATTTGAAGTATTGATTTTGGATTGATTGGATGTAAATATATGAAAGTCTAGAAGATAAATTTTAATTAAGCGTGTCAGGTACTAGGTTGGGAGGGTTGGGAGTAGTATATGGATTAGAATTGTGTGCACTGTGACTGGTTGTGACTAATTTCGTGTTAACTGTGACCGAATGTGACTTGAATATGATCAAGTCACAATCGGTCACAATTAACACAAAAATGGTCGCAAGCGGTCACACTGAACACAAATTTGGTCATAGTTGGTCAGATTGAAGGCTGCAACTGAAGTTGGTGGTGTCGGCGAACTTTTCTGATCCAGATCGCGATTTGATTATCGAGTAGTTCATTGTGACCGATTGTGACTGTTTGTGGCTAATTGTGATCAAATATGGGTGTGCTTTGACTGATTGTTTAATTATTGCGTTTGAAAATTTTGAAATCGTCGGAGCAGTGGTCGGAACGTCGCCGGAGCAGTGGTCGGACCGGCGCCGGAGATGGAGGGAAGTGGTGTAGTGAGGAGATTGGGTGGGTGAGGTGTCATGGGGTGTAAATAATTAATCTATATTATATTTTATTTTAATATTTAATAAATTTATTTACTACATGATTTTTGAAATATTTTAAATAATCTATTTACCACCTGATTTTTGAAATAATTAAACAATTTTTTTATTTTTGAAAAGTAATTATTATATGTAGGTTTTGTGTATTGTTCCCTTAATTTTGGTCGTTTTCGACTCCAACTCAAAACCAAAATCAAATTAGTCGGTTTGAGTGAATTTCAGCCCAAACCAATCAACTCTAACTCTTAATCGAATTGATCCAAACCAAATCAGTTTGGTTTGAATTGAATTGATCCAAACCAAATCTAGTTCAAATTGAATTTTTTTTAATAAAAAAATGTCTAGGTTTTGGGTCCACTTAGATTACAAGAATTAAAATAATTTTATATTACAAGAACTATTGACTTCGAATAAAATTAG